AGGTATAGATGTTACGTTTCTTAAATGGATAGTTGCCATCTACAACAAACCCACAGCCAACATCTTACTGAATGCAGAAATACTGAAAGCATTTCTGTTTAGAACAGGACCCAGCCACGGATGTCCACTGTCTTCACTACAGTTTGTCATAGTGCTGGAAGTCTTAGCTGATGCGATTAGGCAAGAGAAGGATATCAAGAGTATCCAAAGGAAAGAGGAGGCCACACTATTGCTCTTTGCCGCTGATATGATCTTATACATAAAGAATCCCAAGGACTCAACCATGAGACCCCTAGAAGTGACCAAGGACTATAGTAATGTCGGGAATATAAAATCAGCGTTCACAAATCAATAGCATTCATATATGCCAACAACATACAAGCTGAGAATCAAATCAAAGGTGTAAAACCCTTCACAATAGCTCCAAAGAAAATGAAATACCTTGGAATTCACTTAACAAAGGATGTGAAGTATCTTTATCAGAAAATACTAAACACTGAGAAAAGAAATAGCAGAGGATGTTAACAGATGGAAGAACATTACCGTGCTCTTGGCTGGGAAGAACCAACACTGTTAAAATGTCTGTGCTACCCAAAGCAATCTACAGATTTAATAGAATCCCCGTTAAAATACCATTATATCTTGAAGATCTTGAAAAACTAGTTCTCTGTTTTGTATGGGACTGGAAAAAACCTTGAATAGCCAGCACAATTCTGCAAAATAAGAACAAATCATGTGGCCAGACTTCAGGTTATACTGTAAGTCTGCAGTGTTCAAAACAGTGTGGTATTGGCATAAAAATAGAGACAGATCTATGGAACAGAACAAAGAACTAGAGATGAAACCAGCCTCGTATCACCATTTGATCTTTGATAAAGCAAAAAAAAGCATACATCAGGAAAAAGAATATTTAATAAATGGTGCTGGAGGAAAGAACTGTCTGGCAACACGTAAAAGCCTGAAACTGAACGCACACTTCTTAACACTTACAAAAATTAATGACACTCACAATCAATAAAAGATTTAAGCCTAACACATGAAACTGTAAAAGCTCTAGAAGACTGTGTGGGGAAAACTCTTAATATTGGTCTTGGGAAAGAATTTATGAAGACCTCAAAGGCAATGGTAGCAACAATAGATGGGGCCTGATCAAGTTAAAATGTTCCTGTACGGCTAAGGACACAATCGAAAAACCAAAGAGACAGCCTTTAGAATGGGAGAAGGTATTTGCATGCTATGAATCCAAGAAAGAGCTAATGACCAGAATCTACAAAGAACTTAAGCAAATCAACAATAACAACAACAAAATAGCAAACAGCCCCATTAAAATCTGGGCAAATGACGTGAACAACATCTTTTCTCATGAGGGTAGAAGAATGACCAACAAACTCATGTAAAAATCCTCCTCATCTCTGATAATTAGTGAAATGCAAATAAAAACCACTTTGAGCTGTCACCTTACCCCAGGGAGAATGGCCCACATCACAGGGCCCCTTCCTCCCCTGGCCTGCCCTCCCCTCCCATCTCCTCTTCTTCCTGTTTTCCCCCTTTGGAAGTAGCCTGGTGCCGCCGTTCCCGAACTCGTGGACCGTGTGACTGAGATTGCTTCTGAGCTTCCCCTCTGCTGTCTGAGTGTTCAGTTCTTTGTGAGTGCTCAGTCATTTACTACTGAGCCATTTGCTTTCCAGCTTCCAAATTTCCATTGCTTCTTATCCTTGTGTTGTTAAAAGAAAACAGAGCAAACCCCCCTCCTTATTACGATATTAGGAGAGCTGTAGGTTGCAATGAAGGTTGAGGTGAGTGCATAGTCTGTTAACGACATTGTCTTTGAAGTTCCTCCTGTGCTTTCCCTGTCAGGTGGATGGACTCTGGGGCAGGGTGGTTACTCAGACTACAAGAACAGGATATGTGGAAACTTAGACGTTCAGCCAGTCCTGTGAGGTTAGTGTCTGTTTTAGACTTAGAAGGGAGAAAGTGTGAAACCTACCAGAGTGAAACAGTTTATTTCATAGGCACCATTTAGGCCTTTTTGAGGGTAACATGGAAATAGTTAAGGAGTTTGGTGAGCTGGTAATTACAAGAAAAAAGTTACTTTCTTTATACCTGAGTAGAGTTCTCCAAAGAAGGAATTTGTTCAATGGGGAGTCTTCCGTATAACAGCAACTTCTGTCACCCCACGTCTGTCACTTTGTGTATTCCATTCATTTTTCAATGCAGGCACAGTTTAGTTCTCCTGCTATTAGTTCTAACACTCTTCAAATTAGACCTTTCTTTTTCTGTCTTTGAGAAAGACTAATACTCTATGCCTCGATTGGATTAATGTTCCAGGGAATTCAATTCTTCTTTCTAACTCAGAGTTGCCGACTTTCTTTTTGCTTAGTTTTGCGTTTCCGGAACTGCCACTGGTCATGTCATGGACTCTGTGGAAAGATTGTGTAATGGAAAATTTCATTTTAAAAAATTCCCATGTAGACAGAAACCATTGTGCATTCCATTTTCATAGTTAAGGATGGTAATGTTAGCATCATACATATATATGTGTTTTAAATGATTCTTTTTGGTTGAGCCACGATTACATATTCTTTTAGACCCAACAAGGTATATAAAGTGAGCACTGAATTTGCAGTCAGAAAACTCTGGTTGAAAACTTACTTTACTTGTTATTATTTGCTCATTGGTGGCCAAATGCAGTAGCTTCCGCCTGTAATCTGAGCATTCTGGGAAGCCGAGACAGGAAGATTGTCTGAGCTCAGGAGTTTGAGACCAGTGTGAACAAGAGCAAGACCCCATCTTTACTAAAAATAGAAAAAGTAGCGGGGCATGGTGGCGGGTGCTGGTACTCCCAGCTACTTGAGAGGCTGAGGCAAGATGGTCCCTTGAGCCCACGAGTTTGAGGTTGCTGTGAGCTGTGATGCCATGGTACTCTACCCAGGGCGCAGAGTGAGACTCTGTCTAAAAAAATAAAAAAATTTTGATCGTTGGTGATAATGGTAATACTAACAATGCCCCCAAAGCTATTTTGTTGTGTGTTTACTCCTGTATTTCTCGGCTGATATTCTGATTTGAAGGAGCATCGTAGCTCCCAAGTGAAACATTTTCAAATGTAACACAAGGTCATTTTCCTGTTTGTAATGTCATATTCATTTTTTTCTTAGTTAATGTGTAGGAAATACTACTGACAGGAAATACTTAGTTCATGTGTAGGAAATACTACTGACAGGCTGTTTTTTTCTTGTTCTAACATAATATATCATGCTTTTAAATTCTTTATTTGATATCAGTTGATGATTTAATGTTGAACCCTGTCCATTGTTTTGTAATCATTTACTAAAGGGTATCTTTAAGGAGGGATGGTGCTTACGACATGCACAATTTGAAACTAAATGGAAAGCAATTCTAGAAGCATTTATTTATATTTAGAAATTTAATGTTGAATCTTTTTTTTTTTAATTTGTCACATTGAGAAATTTTCTAGAGGGCAGAGACCTAGCGCCTGGTACCTTCCAGGAAAACAAGTGGCCCCAGTGTGTCCTGTGTGAGTTTAATCTCTTATTATGCACACAGCGGCTTTTCTAGGTGCTCCAAATGCAGAATCCTGGAGCACCTGAGAGATAGGGGCAGATGAGCAGCAGGACGGTGAGG